CCTAAACCCTAAACCCTTAACCAAAACCCTCAACTCGAAACCTTAGCCCGCGGTCTAGGTTTCAGGTTTAGGATTCAGGGTTGGGGCTTGGTCAAGTCTCAGGTTCGGGGTTTAGGGGCTTGGGTTTAGGGTTTAGGGTTTAGGGTTTAGGGTTTAGGGTTTAGGGTTCAGGGTTCAGGGTTTAGGGTTTCGGTGTTAGGGTTTCGGGTTTAGGATTGGGGCTGGTCAAGCCTAAGGTTCAGGGATCTCTACAGAAAGCCTAGACCCCTCGAAATCCACTTGATCCATAGGCTTACCACTGAGAGCACGAAGTTCTGAGCCTCCCCGTGTGGGTGGATTTAGGGTTTGGGAGGAGGGTTTAGGGTTTAGGGTTTAGAGCGTGAGTTCTTTCAAGAAGAAACCGAGCTGAGTCAGAACAGCCATCCCAAGCAACGTTTACGCCCCCGGGCTGAAACGTAATAACCCTAAGATCCCGACAAACCCTAAACCCTAAGCTCCAGACAACGCACCAGTTTTGAGGCTGCGATCTCAGTGAATATTTGATAAAGACACGTGCGCCAGCACTGCTGTAGGATGCTCAGTAGTCTCCTTGTTGTGTACTTGTTGGTTTCTGGTTCTTGGTAAAATACAAACCTGGTCCCCAAAAAACCCTAAAGCCTAGCCCCTAAACTCTGAACCCTAAACCCTGAATCCACTTTCCCCAGTGGGCTACTTCCCAGACCCCCAAAGGATCTAAAAAATAGATCCCCTAAGGGGGTTCCTATAAAGTACCCTTTAGTAGTTAGGGTCCCTAATTAGGGGATCTATTTTTTAGGTCCTTTTGGGGGTCTGGGTTAGCAGCCCAGACTATTGGATCTTCAAGGACCTTAAAAACGGTTAAATCAGGAAGGAAAGGGTCCTTGGGGAGCTTAGGGAACCCCAAAACACAGTTTAGGGCTTTAGGGGTTTGGGCTTTAGGGGTTTAGGGGTTTACGGGTTTTGGGGTTGAGGGGTTTAAGGGTTGAGGGTTTGGGGGCTTAAGGTTTAGGGTTTAGGGTTGAGGGGCTTAGTTTAAGGTTTAGAGTTTAGTAAACCCCCAAAAGTTGGAAACCGGATCAAGGACAAACAGGTCTACGATCTCCTATACATTACGCTTGAGGATTGAGGCTATTGGGTTTCCAACTTTTGGGCTAATTTTCCTACAAGGAGCATTGGGGACTACTAGTTATAGACCTCCCTCATAACCCCACGATCGCCTAACACCATGAACCCTACACCCCGCACCTTCAACCAAGCCGCAGTGTCAAACACGAAGTCCTGGAATGTAGAGGCGTGAGTAACAAACAGTAGTAGGTCCCCGTAGTCCCTGCGTCGTCATACAACACTGCAACATACCGCCCGAAACCCTAAACCCTAAACCAACATTAAAGCCGCCTTCCTTAATTAAGCCCTATGTATCCCCTCGGCACTGCATTCGAAGAACGACCCTAGACACAAACCCTAAACCCAAACTCTGATGCTGAACCCTAAACTCTACACCCTAAACTCCAAAACCTAAACTCTAAACCCTAAACTCTAAAGCCTAAACTCTAAACCCTAAAGTCTAAACCCTAAACTCTATACCCTAAACTCTAAAGCCTAAACCCTCGGAGGACGCCCTCAATGCGTTCTGCACGCTTCCGGCACCGCCTAGAACAACACATTCTGGCCAACTTCTTGGTGCTACCGGCCAGGGTGGCTTGCGACTCGGTTTAGGGTTTCGGGTTTAGAGGGTTTAGGGTTTAGGGTTTAGGGTTTATAGGGCCTATAGGGTTTATAGAGTTTATATGGTTTAGGGTTTAGGGCAAAGGGATCAGCGGACTCAGAAAGTAGGGCTCCTTCAAGGGATTCTTTTAAGGGATCTACAGTCGTTTTAAAGGGTTCCATAAGGCTTTCTGTCCGGGTTCTATCGGGTTTCAGAGGATCGGGGGGCTTAGTAGGTAAGGTTAGAAGGGTTTAGGGTTTAGGGTTTAGGGTTTAGGGTTTAGGATCCAGGAGAACTATAGTTATATCAGGTATATCTACTCATAACCCTAATTGAGCTATTGAGAACCCTGCTTACTAAGTCTCATGATCCTCCAAGTACGGTTTGGTGATGTTTAGGGTTTAGGGTTTAGGATGGGCTAATGCCGCTGCGTAAGTATCAAGTAGTGTATACCCTCCCACCCAAACCCTAAACCCTAAACCTCCTCAACCCCTGAAACCCTAAACCCCAAACCCCCTAAACCCTAAACCCTAAACCGTGAGTATTGAGGCCCGTACATATCGGTCAAAGGATGGTTCGGTTTTCCGGTTTAGGGTCTTAAGGGTTGCTCTAAGGGTTTAGGGTTTAGGGATTAGGGTTTAGGGAAGGGTTGCTTTCAGGTTTCTCGGGTTAGGGTTGAAAGCTTTACGGAATCTCAATAACAACCTTTATTGGGAGAGGACTTGCTACTAATCAGGGTCCACATGATGGTCTACTTGGGCTTTACAGTTTTAAGATTGACAGCTTCGTCGAATTGTAGGATTTTGGGTTTGAGGGTTCAAGGATTTTAAGGTTGGGGGTTTTGGACTTTTGGGGTTTGGGGTTGCGGGATGTACTAAGGTATTTGGGGCTTCCAGATGTACCGTTTAGACTTGAATTCAGCCGCGCTGATAGTAAGCAGATTGGCTTGTTGACATGCAGAGAAAGATGCGGTAGGAAAAGCTGCTGCTACAATTGGCTGCTACTCCTACTCCTGCTACTACCGCTGCCTGTACTGCTACTATTGCTTCCACTGCTGCTACTGCTGATGCTGATGCTACTGCTACTACTGCTACCTCCTTCTACTACCGCTACTACCACTACTACCGCTACTACCGCTACTACCACTACTACCACTATTACACTACTACCACTACAACCACTAGTACCACTACTACCACTACTACCACCACTTCTACCACTACTACCACCACTACTACTACTACTACTACTACTACTACTACTACTACCACCACTACCACTACCCACACCACTACCACTACAACTAACACCGTCACTACCGCTGCCGCTAGCGCTATCGCTACCACTACCACTAGCATGACCACTACCACGACCACTGAACTACTACCACTATAACTGCCGCTACCACCACCACCACTACTTCTACCATGACGACGACTTCTACTTCTACTTCTACTACTACTACTACTACTACTACTACTACTACGACTTCGACGACTACTACTACTACTACTACTACGACTTCGACTACTACTACTACTACTACTACTACTACTACTGCGCCTACTGCAAATTTTACTCCTACCCCTACCCCTACCCCTA